AACCAGCGAGGCGTTGGAGGGCAGCTCGAAGCGCAGAGGAGACGAGTCGCGACGCAGACGAAGGCCGGGAAGGGCGGCGGCCACGCCCACCAACACAGCAACTGCTTGAAGGAAATATTATCATTACAAATTGTGTACGATTTGATGGAAAGAATATCATACTAAAGGGATATTATGTACCCTGGTACTGAATCAAAAGCAGTATCAGATATCAATGCAAGCAATTTGTGTGAATTAATTTGAACCAAGTTTGAAGAAAAAGACTACACACTTATACCCACCGAGAGCAAGAACCTTCATGTTTGTGAATCCTACGAAAGATGTGTATCCTGCCTGGAAGAGCCCCAATATATACCCCTGATGCCCTTGGCCACGCCCCCTCCATCCCTCAGGACTCTTTCACACGTCCTTACGCAGGTAGAGTGACCTTGAAACGCTGAAGAAATTCGAGCGTGATATTTCATGCATACTTTTAGAGAACTAGAAGGAAGTCCTTAAAGTAACACTGAAGTCAGTCGGCAGAAGTTGCTAATAAAAGTTTTTAAAGGACATTAGGAAGTACTTTTAAATTCGTTGTTCTTAAAAAATAATAGTAAACCATGAGAATGAAAATAAGCAATCTTTAGGCAAGAATTCAAAGGGATATTTCTCTATTTCTATTTTTGGAACATTAAGAAATACCCCGTGACTTTCCTGTCATCAAAGTAATGGAGTCAGTATTTCATTTGTTAATTCATAAAGGTAAAATGTTGATTTATGCTTATTGTACTATTAACCTATGTGACAGAAATATCATGATTTGATTATTCCGAAATAAAAACCGGGCTTTATATTCCCTAGCCTGTTTGTCACATTATGGCTTATTCTAAAAGATGAGCAAAATCGACCAGTGAGATCCCTGGTATTTGTGAGGATACAACCAACACTAGATAATGATTTAATCACGTCATTTAATTAAAGTCTCCAATCACTGATCATATGTCATAAACGTATACTCAAAAATACACGTACACAGTAGAAGGCTTATAAAAAGTACGTTTATATCTTACGAAGAGAAAAATTACGCCATAACGCCCAGTGATGAAATTGGAAAATATGTGAATTTCAATTGGCTATCATTTTCCCCAAAAGCCACCTGTAGATCGATTTGTTTCTCATTTTGTCGACAAAGTTCCTTTAGTTACCACCGAAGTAAAACATATCCCGTGACAATTATATCTGTATCACTGGTTATCAGTGACAACCATCAAATTCATTAACAGTACCTGTATCTGCAATGTTCATAATATCCTGTATATGCTACTAAAATTTGCTTATCACAATGAGATGTTTCTTTTCGTGTCTGTTTAATTGTTTGATTTACATTATGTGAAGGATTGACATGAAAATATAGCGTGAACCTACAAGCAAAAGTTCAGAGTAATGTAGCATTAAAACTTCCTACGATATTCATTCATTAGTGGTTTTGTTCTTTTGGTCAAAACTTCTGATCTGCTCAGCAATTCAACCGCACTGAATAACATTTTCACATTTTTTGGACAAGTTTTTACGTCTAATGATACTGATAATTTTTTTTCCACTGCATTCGAAACCTGAACCAAAAGTAAAATTTAAAAAATGATTTTCTATTTGTATGGTCTTGTAATAAATGACAATAGATGATAAAGTACAGAATGTAAGTTATAACGGTAACACTCACTAGTAGTAATAGAATGGCTGCAGTAATACTGTGAGGGTCATTTTAACCGAAATGCAACATTCATTCATTAGTGTGCTTTTATGCACATTTATAAACTTGTCCTGAACTGTTCTGTATTTTTAAACCTCACTGAATATTATTCTCATGTCATTTTAAGACAAAGTGATTTTTACGTTTAGGAATAAATATGATTTTTTTCATTGCATGAGGTTCAGGCTTAAGTTTCTCGCTTGATATTTACGTCTATATTTCCATGAAAGTATTCATGGCAGAAGGCCTTCAACTTCCATTCACTTCGAAGACTTAATCAGAAATAAAATTTCAAAATAAAGTTCTAGTTTTATTGTCTTGTAATAATGGAAAGAATTGACGTCTGAAGGAATGTAAGTCGTATATATAAACACCCACCCACTAGTAACATAATGGCAGCAGTTATACTGTGGTCATTTTACCCGAAATGCAACTCTTTCGATAAGATACTGTAATTGAAGGTCTATAGTATAGCTAACTGAGAGAGTGTGAATATTAGGACTCATTAAATAATAATTTTATAAGGGCACTGAAAAAGTTATGGTTATGGAAGAAAAAAGACGAAAGGGTAAGTGGTCTTCAACATTCTTTAAAATTCTCATTTATAGAAAATAGATCCGTCCTCATTGATGACAAGCGTGGCGTTTGGGATGAAATATCAAAGAACGACCGCGTCCTCATCCGAGGATCAAATTGATGATTATTCAATGAAACAAGTTTCATTCCGATAGAATGAGCTCGAAGGAGCAACATGAAAACGGACTGATTAGTTGTACAATGTGTCGCAACCTTTGGGTATGGAAGGAAAATCACTGAATGGGAAAGAAGTATTTAATGCATTAGAAAATTATCCTTTTCATACAAAAATAGATTAGATGCTCATAGATGATGAAATGTGGTGCTCGGGATGAAACGTCGAGGATCGACCCTGTGTCCTCATCCGAGGCTCTACTTCTCCAGGAAGTTGACGTCGGCGCGGCCGAAGTATTCGTTGGACCTCCTGAAGGCGGCGGCCTCGGAGCAGGGAAGGGCCTCCTCGGGGAAGGCGCACACGAGACGTTCCTGGTCGAACATGGTGCCCTCGCCGCACATGAAGGAGAAGTGGCGGGTGATGTAGAGGTCGTTGTCGATGTAGGGCAGACACACGTGGAACAGGGCGCAGTCGTTGCTGGTGTCGGCGTAGTATCCGTAGGGAAGTTCGGCGCAGTCGAATCCGGTGTTGATTCTACCCAGAACCAGCGAGGCGTTGGAGGGCAGCTCGAAGCGCAGAGGAGACGAGTCGCGACGCAGACGGAGGCCGGGAAGGGCGGCGGTCACGCCCACCAACACAGCGACTGAATTGAGGAGATAATGAGTATAAACATAATATGGATCTGATAATGAATGGATGACTATTACGGAATCAAGGTATAATAACTTCCATCGACTGTCGCAAAAGAAAAAGATATTACTCTTGCGAAAGTTTACAATGACCTCAGCGAGGGGAACAGAAATGTATCCACAACTTCGTTATACCCACCGAGAGCAAGAACCTTCATGTTTGTGAATCCTACGAAAGATGTTTATCCTGCCTGGAAGAGCCCCAATATATACCTCTCCTTCCCTTGGCCACGCCCCCTCCATCCCTCAGGATTCTTTCAGACGAGAGAGAGAGAGACGATTTGTCAGACTCACTGCCATCAAAGTAAGGAAACTGGATATTTTGATATCCTGTCAAATTTTATACGTTAAGGTAATGAAATGTGTTGGTGATATTACGTGTTATATCACAACTCCAACTGTATTCACACCGCACATGTAATTGGTCTTTTATCTGCATAAGATAAACACGAACCTAACATAATTTGTAATTTCTGTACTACAGCATATACAGGATTTGAAAAATGAGCAATATCGGAACAACTGGTATATGTACTGTAAGAAGTGCACTTGCACTGAGATGTTCCTAGCAAGAGGCATGAACATAATTATTTCTTGAGTGGATAACCACATACCATTAACATTTAAATACAGATATGCAGACAGACATCCTTAGATCTCTATGAACATACAGTCTTATTCTGAAGTTCACTGGGAAAAAGTACAACACCCAGCTAAAGTAGAAAAAGAGAAAGAGAAAGTGTCGCAATCACGGGTGGAATTTTACCCCCCTCCCCCTTCTCCTTCAGTCCCATTACCAGAGCAGATTAATACATCTTTAATTTAAGGCAAGTTATTAAAGATTAACTAATACTGTCGTAAATCAGCTCGTTTAATCCGCCAGTGTATGATATACTGGGAATCAAAACACGATCGCCGAAATATTCAGATCGATTGTAAATAGTTCTTGAAATACAACCAAATGATCACTAACTAATTATGCAAGCTTAATGAAGCTTATCGCAACCGTCGGGTGCTTGTTGTGTGGGCGTTTTGCATATACAGATATTTCGGAAAACCAACAACCAAACTGCAAAAAAGAGACGCCTTACTGATTCAGACATGAAAAAGTGCATGCTTAGACACAGGTTGTGGTCAGAACTCTTGTTTGATTTCATGTAGGCGTGTGTTAACATCTGACAATTATCTTTGAAGTACTCTGAAGTTTCCAGGCACCATTCGACGACATGGCAACAAGAACGTTGGTCGTCTTCAGTTATGCTTTAAAATATTAAAATATTACTTTCGGGTAATTGTACCTTAAAAGATCAACACTTTCTTTTCATGAAATTGAAAATAGTCTTTATAATAGACCTACAACGCTTGGTTAACTAAACAGTTTCCATTTTCAATGTATCCCACGTCATTATCTCATTAAGAGCTCCTTTTGGTGAACAGAGAAGTGTCCACACATGAGACTGAAACTTTTCCCAGATTTGTTTTTCTCTTCCCAAAATGTTGACGTCTGAAAGAAGGTATAAACAGAAACTGATAACAAAATAAGTGACATAGGATAGAGAGGGTCATTCTACATGTAACTCAACTTTGCTTTTCGAAAATTATATGGTTAATTACCCTATAATACCGGACTAGAGAGCAAATATATTTTTTAAACGAATTAAATCACTGTTAGAAAAAAAATACTACTGAAAAATATTGAAGATCATTTATATATATATATATATATATATATTAATATATATAATATATATATATATATATATATATATATATTTCTGTAGGGAAAAAAATCTGATGTATGATTTTGTGAACTTCAGGGTTTTTAACTTTTTTATCAGTACAGCAGGATGCCGTCTACGACAATATCCTCGGGTATGTAAGAAAATCATTGACTGGGAAAGAGATATTTAATACATTAGGAAATTTTCGGTTTCATACAAAAATAGATTAAATGCTCATTGATAATGATATGCGGTGTTTGGGATGAAACGTCGAGGATCGACCCTGTGTCCTCATCCGAGGCTCTACTTCTCCAGGAAGTTGACGTCGGCGCGGCCGAAGTATTCGTTGGACCTCCTGAAGGCGGCGGCCTCGGAGCAGGGAAGGGCCTCCTCGGGGAAGGCGCACACGAGACGTTCCTGGTCGAACATGGTGCCCTCGCCGCACATGAAGGAGAAGTGGCGGGTGATGTAGAGGTCGTTGTCGATGTAGGGCAGACACACGTGGAACAGAGCGCAGTCGTTGCTGGTGTCGGCGTAGTATCCGTAGGGGAGCTCGGCGCAGTCGAATCCGGTGTTGATTCTACCCAGAACCAGCGAGGCGTTGGAGGGCAGCTCGAAGCGCAGAGGAGACGAGTCGCGACGCAGACGGAGGCCGGGAAGGGCGGCGGCCACGCCCACCAACACAGCGACTGAATTGAGGAGATAATGAATGTAAGCATATATAATATCGATTTGTATTAACATGTCATATAAAATAAATGGATTATTGTTTATATATATATATATATATATATATATATATATATATATATATATATATATATGCAAAAGAAAAAGATATTCTTGCAAAAGTTTACAATGACCTCAACAGAGAAGGGAACAGAAATGCATCAATTGTTACGATATACCCACCAAAAGCAAGAACCTTCATGTCTGTGAATCCTACGAAAGGAGATGGTTGTGCCGCTTAGAGAAGCCCCAATATATACCCCTCCTCTTGGCCACGCCCCGTCCATCCCTCAGGAGACTTTTAGCTGTCCTTTCTCAGCCAGGCTGACCTTGGAATTCATGAGAATTCGAGCGTCACTTTTCTGTATATGTTTGTCGTCTCTAACCCAGATGGATGACGCCCTGGAATAGCTGTTTCAAAAAATCATTCCATAGGAATCTCTTATAACAAAGTGACATACGTAAAATGGATATAGATATAGATATACATACATACATATATATATATATATATATATATATATTATATATATATATATATATTATATATATATATGTATATATAGAAATAGATGTTTATGTATATGTATATATATGTATTATATATTATATATATATATATATAGAAATAGATGTTTATGTATATGTATATATATGTATATATATATATATATATATATATATATATAGAGAGAGAGAGAGAGAGAGAGAGAGAGAGAGAGAGAGAGAGAGAGAGAGACACTGACAGACATAAACAGACAGAGACAGAGAAACAGAGAGATAATTCCTCAGTTTCACCTGAATTAAACTAAAGAAAGTAAGTATTTGGATATCCTCAGTCCAACTTTGTGCTTTCAGGCAATGTTACGCGATGAAATGAAATTACGTGATATACCATTAATCCAACGATATTCACACCAAGTATATAATCGAACCTAACATTATATGTAATATTTGTACTACAGTATACACAGGCTTTGAAAAATAGCGTCATTAGAATGTCTGGTAGATGTACAGTGCGAAGTGTATTTACAGTGATATGTTCATAGCGGGTGTGCACATCTTTAGTTTTTGACTGGATAATCACATACCATTAACATTCACGTACAGATATGGATAAAAACATTCACAGACTTCAGTCCATTCAGAAAAAACTCAAAACCCAGCCAAAGTAGAAGCCTAGGAGAAAATGTTATCCGGGGTGATCCCCCCCCCCTCCCCTTCCCTTTCTCCCTCAATCCCATCACCTGAGCAGATTAGTGCCTCTCTTCTTTTAAGGAATTTTATTAAAGTGGACCTAACTGATGCCTCGTAAATCAGCTCATTTAACCTGCCAGTCTTACCTATTGATCGTAAGAAGCACGGGACTGAAAATCATGAAATCGCCGCCGAACAATTCAGATCGATTATAAATATTTCATGATATTCAGCCAAATGCTCCCTTTATGTCCTGACAATGCAATCTTTTATGAAGCTTCTCGCAACCGTTGGGTGCTTGTTATGTGGGCGTTTTGCATTTACAGATCTTTCGGAAAACCAGCGATCAAACTCTACAAAAAGGAAACACCTTATTGACTCAGACATGAGAAAAAGTGCATGCTCAGACACACAGGTTGTGGTCAGAATTCTTGTCTGATATCATGTAGGCGTATGTTAACATCTGAGAATTATCCTTGAAGCACTTGATGATTATACCTTATAGCATTGTTACATTATTTTCTTACAAGTGAAAATAGTTTTGCTAACATACCTACAACACTTGCCAAACTAGACAGATTCCAACCTAAACGTATTCCACATCATTATCTGATTACGACCCCCTTTTTGCTGAACAAAGATGTGTCCAGACATGAGGATTAAACTATTTCCCCATATTCGTGTCTCTCTCTTCATAATATTTGACGTCTGGAGAGAGAGAGAGAGAGAGAGTATATATATATATATATATATATATATATAAAAATAAAAGAGATGGTCATTCTGTTCGTAACTCCACTTTGCTTACTGACGAACATATGGTTACTGACTCAATAATACCGAACTGATGAAGAAACATAATCTCTAAATTAATTAAATCACTATCTGAAAAAAATGGTTACTGAAAAATATTTATTTATTTTTTTTTTTTTTTATGCAGGTAAATATCGGATATTTGATTCTGTGATCCTAGGTTTTCTTGTCAAAACTGCAATCCAGTACAGCACAATGCCGTCTACGCGAAAATCCCCGGGTATGAAAGGAAATTGCGGAGTAGGAAAGTGATATTTATTAGAATAGAAAATTCTCTTTTTCATACAAAAAAGATCAAATGCTCATTGATAAATGATATGCAGTGTTTGGATGAAATGTTGAAGGGTGACCCTGTGTCCTCATCCGAGGCTCTACTTCTCCAGGAAGTTGACGTCGGCGCGGCGAAGTATTCGTTGGACCTCCTGAAGGCGGCGGCCTCGGAGCAGGGAAGGGCCTCCTCGGGGAAGGCGCACACGAGACGTTCCTGGTCGAACATGGTGCCCTCGCCGCACATGAAGGAGAAGTGGCGGGTGATGTAGAGGTCATTGTCGATGTAGGGCAGACACACGTGGAACAGGGCGCAGTCGTTGCTGGTGTCGGCGTAGTATCCGTAGGGGAGCTCGGCGCAGTCGAATCCGGTGTTGATTCTACCCAGAACCAGCGAGGCGTTGGAGGGCAGCTCGAAGCGCAGAGGAGACGAGTCGCGACGCAGACGAAGGCCGGGAAGGGCGGCGGCCACGCCCACCAACACAGCAACTGCTTAAAGGAAATATTATCATTACAAATTGTGTACGATTTGATGGAAAGAATATCATACTAAAGGGATATTATGTACCCTGGTACTGAATCAAAAGCAGTATCAGATATCAATGCAAGCAATTTGTGTGAATTAATTTGAACCAAGTTTGAAGAAAAAGACTACACACTTATACCCACCGAGAGCAAGAACCTTCATGTTTGTGAATCCTACGAAAGATGTGTATCCTGCCTGGAAGAGCCCCAATATATACCCCTGATGCCCTTGGCCACGCCCCCTCCGGACTCTTCACACGTCCTTACGCAGGTAGAGTGACCTTGAAACGGTGAAGAAATTCGAGCGTGATATTTCATGCATACTTTTAGAGAACTAGAAGGAAGTCCTTAAAGTAACACTGAAGTCAGTCGGCAGAAGTTGCTAATAAAAGTTTTTAAAGGACATTAGGAAGTACTTTTAAATTCGTTGTTCTTAAAAAATAATAGTAAACCATGAGAATGAAAATAAGCAATCTTTAGGCAGGAATTCAAAGGGATATTTCTCTATTTCTATTTTTGGAACATTAAGAAATACCCCGTGACTTTCCTGTCATCAAAGTAATGGAGTCAGTATTTCATTTGTTAATTCATAAAGGTAAAATGTTGATTTATGCTTATTGTACTATTAACCTATGTGACAGAAATATCATGATTTGATTATTCCGAAATAAAAACCGGGCTTTATATTCCCTAGCCTGTTTGTCACATTATGGCTTATTCTAAGAGATGAGAAATCCCTATTTGTGAGGATACAACCAACACTAGATAATGATTTAATCACGTCATTTAATTAAAGTCTCCAATCACTGATCATATGTCATAAACGTATACTCAAAAATACACGTACACAGTAGAAGGCTTATAAAAAGTACGTTTATATCTTACGAAGACGGATTACGCCATAACGCCCAGTGATGAAATTGGAAAATATGTGAATTTCAATTGGCTATCATTTTCCCCAAAAGCCACCTGTAGATCGATTTGTTTCTCATTTTGTCGACAAAGTTCCTTTAGTTACCACCGAAGTAAAACATATCCCGTGACAATTATATCTGTATCACTGGTTATCAGTGACAACCATCAAATTCATTAACAGTACCTGTATCTGCAATGTTCATAATATCCTGTATATGCTACTAAAATTTGCTTATCACAATGAGATGTTTCTTTTCGTGTCTGTTTAATTGTTTGATTTACATTATGTGAAGGATTGACATGAAAATATAGCGTGAACCTACAAGCAAAAGTTCAGAGTAATGTAGCATTAAAACTTCCTACGATATTCATTCATTAGTGGTTTTGTTCTTTTGGTCAAAACTTCTGATCTGCTCAGCAATTCAACCGCACTGAATAACATTTTCACATTTTTTGGACAAGTTTTTACGTCTAATGATACTGATAATTTTTTTTTCCACTGCATTCGAAACCTGAACCAAAAGTAAAATTTAAAAAATGATTTTCTATTTGTATGGTCTTGTAATAAATGACAATAGATGATAAAGTAAGTTATAACGGTAACACTCACTAGTAGTAATAGAATGGCTGCAGTAATACTGTGAGGGTCATTTTAACCGAAATGCAACATTCATTAGTGTGCTTTTATGCACATTTATAAACTTGTCCTGAACTGTTCTGTATTTTTAAACCTCACTGAATATTATTCTCATGTCATTTTAAGACAAAGTGATTTTTACGTTTAGGAATAAATATGATTTTTTTCATTGCATGAGGTTCAGGCTTAAGTTTCTCGCTTGATATTTACGTCTATATTTCCATGAAAGTATTCATGGCAGAAGGCCTTCAACTTCCATTCACTTCGAAGACTTAATCAGAAGTAAAATTTCAAAATAAAGTTCTAGTTTTATTGTCTTGTAATAATGGAAAGAATTGACGTCTGAAGGAATGTAAGTCGTATATATAAACACCCACCCACTAGTAACATAATGGCAGCAGTTATACTGTGGTCATTTTACCCGAAATGCAACTCTTTCGATAAGATACTGTAATTGAAGGTCTATAGTATAGCTAACTGAGAGAGTGTGAATATTAGGACTCATTAAATAATAATTTTATAAGGGCACTGAAAAAGTTATGGTTATGGAAGAAAAAAGACGAAAGGGTAAGTGGTCTTCAACATTCTTTAAAATTCTCATTTATAGAAAATAGATCCGGGGCTCATTGATGACAGATGTGGCGTTTGGGATGAAATATCAAAGAACGACCGCGTCCTCATCCGAGGATCAACTTGATGATTATTCAATGAAACAAGTTTTCATTCCGATAGAATGAGCTCGAAGGAGCAACATGAAAACGGACTGATTAGTTGTACAATGTGTCGCAACCTCTGGGTATGGAAGGAAAATCACTGAATGGGAAAGAAGTATTTAATGCATTAGAAAATTATCCTTTTCATACAAAAATAGATAAGATGCTCATAGATGATGAAATGTGGTGCTCGGGATGAAACGTCGAGGATCGACCCTGTGTCCTCATCCGAGGCTCTACTTCTCCAGGAAGTTGACGTCGGCGCGGCCGAAGTATTCGTTGGACCTCCTGAAGGCGGCGGCCTCGGAGCAGGGAAGGGCCTCCTCGGGGAAGGCGCACACGAGACGTTCCTGGTCGAACATGGTGCCCTCGCCGCACATGAAGGAGAAGTGGCGGGTGATGTAGAGGTCGTTGTCGATGTAGGGCAGACACACGTGGAACAGGGCGCAGTCGTTGCTGGTGTCGGCGTAGTATCCGTAGGGGAGCTCGGCGCAGTCGAATCCGGTGTTGATTCTACCCAGAACCAGCGAGGCGTTGGAGGGCAGCTCGAAGCGCAGAGGAGACGAGTCGCGACGCAGACGGAGGCCGGGAAGGGCGGCGGCCACGCCCACCAACACAGCGACTGAATTGAGGAGATAATGAATGTAAGCATATATAATATCGATTTGTATTAACATGTCATATAAAATAAATGGATTATTGTTTATATATATATATATATATATATATATATATATATATATATATATGCAAAAGAAAAAGATATTCTTGCAAAAGTTTACAATGACCTCAACAGAGAAGGGAACAGAAATGCATCAATTGTTACGATATACCCACCCAAAGCAAGAACCTTCATGTCTGTGAATCCTACGAAAGGAGATGGTTGTGCCGCTTAGAGAAGCCCCAATATATACCCCTCCTCTTGGCCACGCCCCGTCCATCCCTCAGGAGACTTTTAGCTGTCCTTTCTCAGCCAGGCTGACCTTGGAATTCATGAGAATTCGAGCGTCACTTTTCTGTATATGTTTACGTCTCTAACCCAGATGGATGACGCCCTGGAATAGCTGTTTCAAAAAAAATCATTCCATAGGAATCTCTTATAACAAAGTGACATACGTAAAATGGATATAGATATAGATATACATACATACATATATATATATATATATATATATATATATATATATATATATAATATATATATATATATATATATGTATATATAGAAATAGATGTTTATGTATATGTATATATATATATATATATATATATATATATATATATATATATATATATATAGAAATAGATGTTTATGTATATGTATATATATGTATATATATATATATATATATATATATATATATATATAGAGAGAGAGAGAGAGAGAGAGAGAGAGAGAGAGAGAGAGAGACATGACAAACAGACTGAGACAGAGAAACAGAGAGATAACTCCTCAGCTTCACCTGAATTAAACTAAAGAAAGTAAGTATTTGGATATCCTCAGTCCAACTTTGTGCTTTCAGGCAATGTTACGCGATGAAATGAAATTACGTGATATACCATTAATCCAACGATATTCACCACCAAGTATATAATCGAACCTAACATTATATGTAATATTTGTACTACAGTATACACAGGCTTTGAAAAATAGCGTCATTAGAATGTCTGGTAGATGTACAGTGCGAAGTGTATTTACAGTGATATGTTCATAGCGGGTGTGCACATCTTTAGTTTTTGACTGGATAATCACATACCATTAAACATTCACGTACAGATATGGATAAAAAACATTCCACAGACTTCAGTCCATTCAGAAAAAACTCAAAAACCCAGCCAAAGTAGAAGCCTAGGAGAAAATGTTATCCCGGTGATCCCCCCCCCCCTCCCTTTCTTTCCTCAATCCCATCACCTGAGCAGATTAGTGCCTCTCTTCTTTTAAGGAATTTTATTAAAGTGGACCTAACTGATGCCTCGTAAATCAGCTCA